AATACTGGCCCGGGAAGCCTACATTGTATATCTGTATATGTAGCGATATCCCTGGCAGACTGTGGGCTGCGCTGACATTTTAATTGCACTCCATGACTCCAGTAATTCGCTTAATTAATCAACATTTTTTTTTCGCTTATCAATATCGGAAGGAAGGCGTTTTTAAAGGAACACGCCCATAAACTGCCAAACAAATTGGCATGAAAATTCAATAATTTGTCTTCTAAAAAGGAAAACACATTAATCATTAAAGGATTCTACAGTTTTTAAAGATTCCATTTAACCATTCAAACACTTCTTGTGTCCCACATAATTTTCATATTTTAAGTATCCCCACATTCCCCAAAAACAAATTCCAAAAGGCACTAAAAAAATGTTCAGGCAATTTCCAGAGCAATTGTTTTAAGGATCCTTGGTATCCGCTTGAGGTCTGGGGCTTCCAAAACCTAATGCGTAAATTACCATCGTTGCCACATCAGCTGAGCCATAAAATCAGCACACAAAAGCATTTGCCGTGGTTATATGGGTCAAAATAGGGGAGCCCCCGCCCCCCAGAGTGGGGGAAGGAGGAAGGCCGAGGAAGGAGACCAAGAAGGAAACGGTGTAGAAGCCAGGTGACGCGGGTCGGTAATTTTGCAGTAATTGAAACCATCAAAGCATAGGTGGGTGCCATTTGTGCGACAGGAATGGAATGGAATGGAATGGAGAGAGAGGGAGAGGGAGAGGGAGAGACCGAGAATGGACATGGACTGAGGAGAGTGAGATGGCCAGATGTGGCCGTGTTGGGCAATTACAAACACACACAGGCACACACACACACAGACACTGGGACACACACGACAAAACGATAATATTAATGCATATGGAGGCGGTCACCTGCACTTGCAGTGGGGCCTCCTGAACGCTCGGTCTGCTCGACCCTTATCGCAAATGCGGCGAATATTATCTGCGATAATGAGAAAACTAATTGTGAGCTATGCAAATGTGGCACCAACAGATGCACCTGTACATCAGTTCTGTGTGCTTGTGTGTGTGTGTGTGTGTGTGCGCTTACCAACACTGGCCAAGTGTGAAAGCAATTAAATTTGATAGTTTATCAGAGAGGGGGGTGGCAGTGGGAGAGGGAGGGTTCATTTGAATAAACGGAAATTGGAACGACGACAAACACTCGACTGCACTCGAGTTGCCAGCCTTACTTTTGTTCGTTCAATGAGCAGCACAGCAATCATTAGAGATAACCAAATTGGAGACTTAAAGCTTAATTTCTCGTCTAAGAGCAGCTCTGTTTAAAGGCGATACCTCTCCGCAGCGCAGTGCAATTACCAATGCAAATGCCGGGCAAAAACTTTAAGGACAAATGGGAGAGACTCTTGGGGGCCGAAAAGTGAAAGTCGATAGGCGTCCCCTTCCCCAAAATGGCCGCCGCTGATGAGAGCAGCGATGCAACTTGAGAGCTTAATTGCAATGTCAGTGGTGACGATCTCTCTCACGGTTGTATCCTCCCACTCTTCCACGCTTTTTACGCCCATTTACTACCTCTCTCTCTCCCTTTGAGTCCCTCTCACACTTTAAGCTGCTCATTTTCCAACGGCAGTTGCAGCCCAAGGTATGATTTGACAAGGTGGGGCTTTGAATAACATTTCTGTGGCACATAACGAGTGGGATACTGTATACCTCACCTTTTTCAAATACACCTTGTTCCTGTTAGCTGATTATGTTCCCCCTTGAAACTTAAAGACGCAGCCTTCTCACTCACTCGCACACTCTTTCCCCCTTTTTGTCTCCCTAAGCTCTGTTCAATTTGCAATTCAAATTGTTCGTTCAACAATTACCCTGGGCAGATGGCATGATGATTTTTATCAGATGTTTGCAACGTGGAAGCAGACCTGAAACAAAATTAATGCATAAGGTTCAGCTTACCTTTTCCTTAACGAAATAAAGATGAAATTGAAAGAACTTGCATCGCTCTCTTCATTTTATTGCATTACAGGAATTAGAGGGTGGAAGCTGATGCTCGAAGCGGGAGAGAGTCAGATCTCCAGTATTTGGAATGCCTCTCACGCCAAAATGAGCTTCACTTTGAACGCTCTCACATTCCGTTTTGATGCTCTTCTTCACTGCGATATTTCATGATGAGTGCGAAAGGGACATGACTTCGCGTCTTTTTTGCCAATTTTCCAAAAACGCGCACAGAACGGAAAAAAAAAATAAAATAAATACAGCTGTATCACACTTTCCGCACTTCTCCGCTGCCGAGCTGCCTTTTTGTTGCCATCTTGCGCTGCCGCTCTTGATTTAACGCATTTTCTTGCATTGCACACACATTTTTTGCACATTTATATCTAATCACTACAGCAAACTTTATTTCACACACCAGCAACATATTTCCCATTGGATTTTTCACCATTTTCCGCATTTTCAGGGATAGAAGCGCGGAGCTAATTTGCCGACGGGCGCTTGGGCCGGGTAAAAAAAATTGGAGTGAGATCGGCGCTAATGCATGCGTTGTTCGATCTTCTGCTCCTCTTCCTATTTGCTCTCTCTCCCACGATCTATTCGGGTGCTTTTGCGAAAACGAAACGAAAAAAAAGTGAGAAAACGGCAAAATAACGCATTGTTTATTTCTGCACATGAAAAAAAAAGAATTTATGCAAAAATAATTTGTTTGTCAACATATACATATATCACATATCAAATATATACACTTATGTACATACATATATATATGTACATATATCACACATTGCTGCACTTTTCCTTCGTAGATCTGCTTTTTTTCGCCATTTGCCTTTTTGTGAGCCCTCGCCTTTGATCAAACACATTTTCTTCCACCAAAACACACTTTGTTGTACATAATCACTGCACCAATACACTAAGCTTTACTTCACACACCTGCGCCCGATTTTTCCCATTGGATTTTCCACCATTTTCCGCATTTTCAGGGAATAAAACACGGAGCTGACTTGCCGACGGGCGCTTGGGCCGGGTGAAAAAACTGGAGTGAGAGCGGCGCTAATGCATTCGTTCTTCGATCTCCTCTTCCCATTTGCTCTCTCTCCCACGCTCTCCCAGCTACTTTTGCTTATGATGTGCAAGGTGGTCCGCTAGCTCTACAGCACTACTGAGAGCGCTATGACGTCATGTTTGCTGTTGTACTAAGCAAAGTAAATGTAGCGGTATAAGTATAGAGTGGCGGCCCTAGCTGCGTTTCATGTTGTGGTTCTATGCGATTGCCGCTGTCGCTGCGCTGTCTGTGGCAGTGACTGAGGCCGCTGGCAGAATCAGAAGCTGAAGCAGCAGCAGAGGCGTTGAGTATGAAAATTAATTCAAGCGAATTCCAGGTGTGCATTTGACATCCACCTGACAGGCATATTGGGCCACTTTTGTCACATTATAAACAATTCATTTGCAATTTGATTGCAGTCATTGGGATTGGATTGTGTATTGAACAAAGACACGGCATTAAGTGGCAATCGATGGATATGGAGCTGTGCAAATGCAGATGGAGATTGACAGGGTAATTACGCTATGGGCGTTATATCTGGGGTGGCTTTGGTCTAGCAATCACAGACATGGGGGCGATTCCGTAATTAAATTGAATATCCAAAGCACTTGTTGCATTTATTAAATATTTAGCACTAGCATTTGTCTTCTGTTTTGTCTTTATCCCTGATGAAAATCCAAAAACTGTCAACATTTCTATCGCTTTAAGTTTGCACAGTTTCAGAACTCTGCTCTGTAGGGACATCTTTCCATCCCAGCCTCCCTCGCTGCCAAGAACTGCAATGAAAACCACAATTTTGATTAGAAAATTGCACAAAGTTCTGGTTCCCGTTGTGCTGGCTTGCATAGCAATCCAAAGGGCCCCAAGTGCCCCTCATGCCCCACCTAATTGACGGTTAGCTAGTGCGGTGGCTGACTCTTATCTAACCCTTACTTTTACCCTTTACCTATACCCAACCTTTACCCTTTTGTCTTGGCCAGCACAAACCACCGAAACACGTGCTAAATTGTTTGCACTTTACCTTTTGTTCCTCCGCCTTCACTCTTCACCCTTCTTCCTTGTTCCTTGCACCTTGTATTTTCTTTATCAGCAGGTTCCACCGCCCTACCAGAGCCCAGCCCACACAAAAGCCACAAAGTGGACAGCTCTGGTTATAACGGTGACAGCTGTTCTCACGTTGACAGCTCATTACATAACCTCAATCTTCTCCCGCTCCCCACCCACACCCGCTCCGCACTGTCTTCTCTGGTAGCCGCTCTATTAGTGGGGCAACGCTGTAACGCTGTAAGTGTAATTTGCAGTTCAATTACCTCACTAATATGGCATGTCGATATGGTCGCCGCGGTGGTCTCGGGGCGACAGTCTCCCCCACTGTCATTGGCCTTCGGGCTCCTCATATGCTCTGCCCACGCATGTAACTCGAATTCGTTAATTATTTTGACAGTCGGACGGTCATGTCGACAGCGGTAGGCGAAAGGGGGCCTGACGAAGACTGATTACTCTCTCTCCAGAGAGCGGTTATGATTCCAAATGGCAGATCTCATTCCAGGCCAACAAGTAGCCATTCCCAAAATGTGGGTAAACTTTCCGAATGGCCGAAACCAACGTTCGCTGTAGGACAAACCGCACGACAAAGTTGACCGACCCTCATCAATGTCCCGGTCCCGGTGACCGAAGAAGTTACCAACTCGAGAAGTCCTGTTGTGGCCACACATGAAACTTGCATGACTCTCTCTGTCCTTCCGGCTCTTCTTCTTCTTCCGCCGCGCCTCCTACTACTTCGAGGCAGTAAGCCAATGTAACTGTAATTTGTGTGGCAGCCACAGCCACAGCACAGCACAGCGCCCAGTCATTTTGGCCAGCCACTGATTATGCTATCCCGAAATGGACATGATGTCAAATTGCCGGAGACACATGTACCAGGGTACGGCGTACATAATTTACGGAACACACACAAACAACTGTGACAACCCAGTGAGAGAGATTTTGAGTGGGATACATGCCAAAAACAGGGCGGGGTTAGATATATATTAATTCAATTCACTTAAGATCTATTTACACGCGCGTGCCAGTCGGAGGCTCCAGCGGCACCGGCAGCAGCATCTCCACCAGCAGCCAGCCCAGCAGTAGGGCATAGGCCACAACGGTCCAGAGCAGCCGCCGACGCCGCCACTATATGATCGTGGTCTTCTCCTTCTCTTCGTTATCATCTTTGTAATTATTATTATTACTGAGGAAATCGCGACGCAGGGCATTCCAATTGGGCGCCGGATGATCCTTAAGCAGGCTCCAGTTGGGCGAATGCACATCCGGAGACAGCCAGTTGAAGTCCGCCACATCCGTGTAGTTATTCTGGGATTTGTTCAGTCCAGAAGCGGAATAGTCGGCCTCTAGTTCCGGGTAGTCGTAGTTGAACTCCCCAATCTCGATTTTCTTGCAATCCTCGATGATGGCCCGACAGGTGACATGGAGATAGATGCGTGTGGAATGGGAGGAATGCAGGCGCAGCTGCTGACAGGCTATGGCCACGGTGCAGCGATCCAGTTGCTCGGCAAAGAAGGAACGCGCCACGGGCCCACACAGCAGGGTGCACTGACTGGCCTTGGAGACCTGCACAGAGCCGGGATGACCCTGTAGCTCCACCAGGCATTGACTTAAGTTGGAAATGGTTATATCCTGGCCATTGACTTCGTCTGCGCTCAGTACAATATGAGCATTCCTGCGATTGGCAATGGTCCAGGTGAAGTTGCTGCCGCTCTGCTCCTTCTTTGGTGTCTTCTTGTCCTGTGGTTCGCCATCGACGACCACCGGCAACGACTTTTGCTTGGGAGCCGTCTTCTTGCCGCTGAAACCAAACTTCTTTTTGGGCATTAGCCGCTGACGGGCCTCATCGTTGCTGCTGGTCAGGGCGTTTAGCATATTCTGACAAGACTTGATTTTGAAATCCGAAAGAAACATCGTCGATGCGGTTAGATAACGCTGCAGTTCCTGTATCTGGAGAGTAATCTCTGGCAGCCTCTTGCTGAGATCGGGTAGCGGTGCATCCCCACTGTTCATGTCCAGCATGAGGATGCTCTTCTCTATGTCGTAGGCACGCTGGCCAAACGTCTGAGCAAAGAAGTCCACGCCCTCGTTCTGGATCGTCTCTTTTGAGCGCTGCTCCAACTTTACATCCAAATAGTTTTTCCTGTCCTTGTTGCGCTTGTTAATGCGATCCAGTATGAGATCCTTGCGGGCGCCGGTATCCCCATCCACGGAGTCCTCCATTATATTGCTTATCTGCAATGGAAGTAGTGTTAAAAATCAATTTATATCCCAAACTTCTTTCAAAGAGATGAATCACAACGCAGTTGTTGCTGTGTTTCAGTGTTGTTGGGGCTGCGCAGCTGCAGCAAAAATCGACAAAATCTTTGCTCTTCTTTCTCGGTCAGTCACTCTTTTCAGGTTTTTGGGTATTGCCATATCAAAATGGTGTAATATTTGTGCAGTTTATTAACCTTTTTAGTCTTTCCTTTTGCTTAATTTTCCAATTAAAAAAAGAACAACAAATGAGCGGGGGTGTCAGCTGTAACCGAAAAAGCACTAAAAAATACCCCAGCCATAGTACAGCTAACACTAATAATAACCAGTGTGACCGCGGTATAGCCAGTATATCAAAATATACCATCTCATTTTAAAAATATACCATAAATATACTGACGAATTAAAGTTCTATTATACATATTCCTCGATTTTGATATTCCGTCGAATATTATTAGCTAGATAGAACATTTTGCAATGCCCACATAGTTTTATACAATTGATGAATCAATTTTGTACTTGACTGGCCCATTCTTAATACTTGCTTTTATTTGATTTCTATATACCGTTGAAAATGAAATTTAATAGTTTGATAAATTTTGATAAATACCACAGCCATACCACAGTGTAATGTTAAAGTAAGTACATGTGTAATGTTAATGTTAAGTGTCGAATGTTAATGTTAAAGATAGAGCGCGGTTGCAAAATTTCAAATAGCCCGCGAAATTCAAATCAAATCAATTCCTTTCATATTCTATGAAAATGTCTTGCTATACTCAAAAACTCTCAAAACTTTCGTGGCTTCCTTCAGTTTTTTTTTTATTTTATTTTAAATCAAAACTACAGGCAACAGATTGAAGTTTTTTTTTGTTTTTTGAAGCGGTCTTTGAGTGGGGTTTATTTTTGAGGTGGTTGTGGGTTCTGGAGTGGGGGTGTCTGCGAGTGGGTGGCGTCTACTCGTGAATTGCTTACAATTGGGCTTACAATTATGAATTTTAACATATTTACAATTGAATTTTCGTTAAATACATAAACATAATATGTAAAGTTAGGTATAGTATATATATATATATATATATATATATGAATATAAAGAGTATATATAGATAGTTGTGTGTGTGTGCTTGAATGTGTGCCCTATATTGCATGCAAATGTACTAAACAGCATTTGTACTTTTAACTTTCGTTAATTAGCAACATTTTCAACACTTAAGTACTAGAAAAACTATTAAATACATCTTGATTTCGTTTGTTCTTTCTCACTGCTCGTTCCTTCCTTGGTTGCTATTTCTTTCTGTTTTGATCTGAGTTTATCTCGTCTTCTCTTGTTTTGTTGTTGGTTATTTTCTTTTATAAGGCACCTGGACACATTCCTGAATATAATGTGCGTTTCATATGATAGCGTTATTTAATTTTTAAACAAATTAAAATCTATTGACTACACAACGAATTGATATAAACACGAAAATTCGTTACGGAATTAGTACTCCAACGGAGGGTAAGGTATCAAATTCTATAATTCATATGACCAGCAAATGACTAAAAATCATCATCGAAAATGATTGGATGATGAGCGAATCAATAAAAACATTCTACATCAATAAAAGTACGTTTTTTTCGGAAATGTTTCTCTGCTTCTTTCAGCACGAAATCAATCGTAGGTCCCCCAATCCTTATATAGATCATGAGAGCTCGCCAATGGGTGCATTCTGCAGCCACAGATCGTGAATGAAATTGTACAGATTATCGCTGACGGAAACCTGGGAAACGACAATAAAATCATTATAAATTACACAACATTTGATGGGTTTTCTGCCTCACCTTATAGGGCGTTGGGTTCAGCGTACGCTTGTGATCATTCCTCAGCGTCTTCAATGAGATTTGCACCTTTTCGCGCACCTGCTCGAGAGTCGGCAACTGCTGGCATATCTTGCCCGACTTCCAGTACACCTTGTACAGTGACTCCACGTGCGAGGGTATGACATAGGCGCGCTTTGACTCCTGGAACGGATGACGACACAGCACCTTCTGGCCCACAGCTGGCGGGGGTTCCGAGACCTTCTGCAGCAGATCGATGAGTGCATGTCCATCGGCACTGTACAAACGATAGGCATTCTTATTCCCCGGCATGGTGACCTTCTCCACATCCTGGCTCAGCTTGATCCTGGGCTGGCCATTGATCTCCACCAGCTTGTAGACACAGCCCAAGGCAGGCTGACGCTGACAGGTCACTGGGGAAGAGACGAAACCATTAAAATCTGATCAAATAGGCTTGCTTTGAAAAGACTCACCCAAATGCGTCCCTATGCCAAAGCAATCAATCTTATGTCCTTGCTCATTTAGGCTCAAGATAGTATCCTCGTTAATGTCATTGGAGGCCACAATAGTCAGCTTATTGAACCATGGCACCTTGAAGCGCTCGGCCACCTTCTCGAAGGTCTCTCGCGCCAAACAGCTGAGATATGCCAAGTCTCCCGAATCAATCCTTATGCCCAGTGCATGATAGCCCAAATCGTTGAGGGCCAAAGCCACGGCACTAAAATTCAGCAGACCGCTCCTATGGAAAAAGCAAGAAAACACCGAAAAATGTGATTAAAAAGGATGCCTATAAATGCCATCAAGTGCTGCTGGGCTTTGGTTCTCAATTCAACAAAAATATCTTTCTCTTTAAGTATTTCGTTTGCCACTAAATTGAAAGCGAAAGTTTATACAAAAATATATATTTTAAGGTGGAGGGTGTAGCTCTATAAACGTGATGGAACCACATTGGGTTCTCTTTGGATTTTGCAAGTGCCTCTAGGGAAAACCATTTCCTGTGTTGGAATTTTCATTGTATTTTTGCTCATTTTAGAGAGCAGCACAAAATGTTGAATATTCTTATTTTTTTTCTTTTGTTCATTAAGCCATGCAGTGTGCTCTCTCGGACGCTTTCTTTCAACTATTTACAGGTAAAAAATACTAAAGAAAAATTGTTGAAAAATATTTAAGGGATTTCTCTTCGAAATTTCTTCAAGGGTTCCATAGGCATAATGGTTCTAACATAAAAGACAACGAATTTATCCAATTCAAAAAATAATGGGAATCATTTTCGATGTAAACAGAAAATAAATGAATTTGGTTCCCACAAAATGTTAAAGAAATCGAACAAAATGTTTTTTGCGGAGAGTTGTTTCAGGACAAAGGACAAGTTCTAGTATCACAGGGTTAGGCGGAGGTCTATGACAGCATTAGGGTGATTCAGTGTGTGTTTTTAATATTGTTTCCCAACAAAGTGCATAAAACAATTGGTAATTCTTTAATTCTTTAAAGTATTCTTTAAATTTGTAAAAATTTTTAAAGTTTGATCTTTAAGTGCACGATTTACAAGAAGATGTATACAAAAAATCTCAGGGTTATTATGTATTAGGTTTCCTAATGTCGCGTGACGTGTGCCTCAACCTAAATGTTAAGATTGTTTTTTTTACAATACTGTTTAGAAATATTAGCTTTCAGCATTGTTCTTTTTTTATTTTTTTATAAAACATTTACTATTTAAGATCTTTTTAAATATTTTACATTACAATTTGCTTGATTATGCAATTGATTTTCTAGTAAAAAATATGCCAAAATATTTGTTCAAGTATTTTTAAAATTTTTCCTGCATTATTTATTTTTTTTTGCCATCTTAAGACTCTTTTGCAATTGTTTTATGCACCTTTGGGTTAAATGTAGGCTCTAAAATCATATATTTATGCATCGAACACATGGTATATGGTTTTTGGTGGCTTTTGTGGGTGAGCGGAGGGGGGATAATGCCATATGAGATCATAGTGTAATTATTTGTTGTGTTGGTTGTTTCTGTACGAGTAACTTTGAAGACGTGTGTTTTACATACCTCTGCCAAAATAGTGCCGGAAGTCATTTTGTTTACTATGTTAGAATAGGAAATTCTTTTGCTATGTTTCAAATTTTGTATTCATGGGGTTTTTTCTGATTCGTTTTCACATAATGTTTTATTAGAGGGGAGGCACATTTATTAAACATTCGGGACGATCAAAAAATAAAAAGCCATACGTAACGAAAGTGAGTTAAAATGAATGTTAAAAAGGTAAATATGGTTTAAAATGATAAAGGGAACAGGAACAGAAAAATGTTGAAAAGCAAGAGTATACAAAAATTAGTGAAGAAAATATAAAATTAGAGCCGGAAAGGAAGCATTGAAAGGTAAAGGTCAAAAACTTACTTCAAATGAAAGCAGAAAGAATAGATTAAAAGAGTAGAAGAGTAAAAAAAGGCGAAAGTTCAAAGAGAAGTACAAAAACGGAAGAAACTTCACCTGTTTTTCTGCATTTATCTTTAGCGTTTTTCCAATTTTCCCAATTATACGAGGACTTAAGGACCAATGTAAGGACTTAAGGACCATTAAAAGTAGCAGGACACACACACATAGACATACAATATATATGTATTTGCATGTTTATGGATGGCTTGTAATTTTACAAATTTAATAGCAATAATTTAGGATAGTTTTCAATGGATGTTTTTTGATGATTTTTAGTGGTGAAGGAAGGGGGGGAATCATGCAGCACCCAAGACCATAGGAAAAAACCACCCAAAACAAAAAGAGATCTAGAATAAAAGCTTAAGTTAAACAAATAGCAGTGGAAATTTTTTATAAAATAATGTACATGATTCACATGAATAGAAATGTTTCGGGTTAGGTTATTTCTTTTCTTTTTTGTTTCCTATTTTAAAATTCGTTTTTGTTTCTGGGGGGGGAGGACATTTACCTGAATGACTTCTCGACATATTTTGGTAGGTATGCCGTCCCATTGGACGTTGTTCTTGTTAACGTTGTAGCTGTTGCTGTAGCAGTTGTTGTTGTTTCAGCTGTTTTTGTTGTTGTACTGAGATTCGTATCGTATATTGTATCTTTAACGGGCGATCTACAACTACCAACACCACCACTACCACCGTTCTGTGAAGCAGTACCATTCTGATGGCCCTTGTGATTGTGTGTCTTGTGTCCATTGGCTGATGACTGGCTCTTGCCATTCGTTATTGGCTGTCTCTGTTTTTGGCCATTTACAGTGTGGCTCTGCGGCTTTGACGGACTGCCGCTTTTGCCGTCTTTTTTTGATTTGATATCATTTTGGGTACTCGATAGAAGATCTTGTGTAAGTTGTTCTGTTTCTCGGCTGTTGGATAATACTTGTTGTTGTTATTATTACCAATACAAAATCAAAGCAAAATTTATGAACAGAAAAAGCATTTTTGG